TGAGATCAGTCATCTGGGTGAAAAACTGTCGCTCGACAAAAGGCATTAAACAGTGCCAAGGAGGTCTGAAATGCAGTCAAAACGCAAAGAAAAACAAGAAGACGCTAAAGGTAAGCTTCAAAGCGATATTCAATGCACATTTTGTTAATTTAGTGAGCAAAGAATATTTCTGATACAACGTCTTATAATTTTCTTGCTGTATGAATAATTAATTAGCTTGATGGGTAGTGTTGTTCTCAGGTTCTTGGCATCCTAGGAGGCCTGAAACGCAGTCAACACACAAATAAACATAAGAAAATACAAAATGCAAGCTTAAAAGGGAAAATATAATGCACGTTTCGCTAAATTATGGAGAAATAGGGTATTCTCATACAACGTCTCATAATTGTTGCCGTATGAATAATTAATTAACTAAGTAAGATAATGTTGTTCAGGGCTCTCATAGAGAGCTTGGGCTACCTGTCAACTAGATTGAGTCTTGTTCACATGACGCGCTTTGCCCACTTGTCACGTGCTTTTGGCACCCAACACATTAGCAGCCTCTTCCCCAGGGCCCTCTCGTTTTTCAGTATGGCGGCAGCGAGGTTGACATGTGCAGGGGCCTTAGCCGTAGAGACAAGGCACTTGCTTCTTCTGGGTTTAGTGCAGAAATGAAACAGAAAACACAAGCGCCGAGAAAATATTTTATAATTCAGTGATTAAATAGAGAATGAGAAGCCCGATTTCCCTCCTTTGACTTCCTTCAGCGCTGAAGACACCCCCTGAGTTTGTTTCTATAACCGTGCATCCCCCTCCCCCACCTCTTGTCACATGACATTTTGTGATCAAAGGGTGCCTATGGCTAACTCGTGGATTAATTATTTCAAAAATGAAAGCTGATAATGAACTTGCAATTAGTCTACCGGTATTATTTAAGTCTGTCAAAAAATGAAAATGTGTAAAAAAAAAAAATACTAAACTAAACTAAGAAAACAAAAGCAAAACGATCACAATATCTATTGCGCCACGCCACAAATGTTATTGTCCATGAAATTTTGCCGGTAGACGCTGTTAATTTGCAGGTAGTAGAGCTTTACTTTTGAAGAAGTCAAAGATATTTCGAGGAAAATAAGCAGGGGGGTTTTGACGGTAAAATCTGTACTTGAACTCATTTCGTCGCATTTAAAATGGCCGACAAAGCAAAACTATCGCGAAGTCTCTTGCTAAAGGCGTTGTACTGCACAAACATGAGAAGAGTCAATTACGATTCAGCAATATTAAACATTTCTGTTTTTATTCAACAAAGAAACATTTCGTTTCACAATGATATTTCCCTCACTTGTAGTGAGGCCGTGAGAAAAGTTAAAAAATCGTGAGTCCCACGGCAGAATCGCGAGTAGGGCTTTCCACAAGTCGCTCGAGATTTTCCAAAAAGTTGCTCTTAATTTCTCAAAAAGTTGCTCAAAAGTTGCTAGAAAAAACAAAAACGCTTTTTTGGTCTGATGCTAAAAATATGCAAATTATACAACAAAAGTATAAAGATTTCTAAGCATTTTTGTGCAATTTTGCGGCGTAACCATGCAGCGTTTGTATATAACAATAACAATACACTTTATTTAAAGAGGGTAGCACGGAATAGTTACAGAGACTAGTAAACTTGTGGCTCTCTATCTAAATTAAAATCAAAAAAAACATAAGTTTGCGAATATACAAAGTCTAAGTACAAAATAAACAAAACTAAGGAAATATAGAAGTTCTACATCAATATGAATGAGTATAATAGCTAATGATATGGCTAGTGAAATATATGCAAGAATATGATTAAACTATGAAATGGTGTAATTCCTGCTGCTCTTTAAATAAGATATTTCGATAATTATTCTTAAAGGATTCTAGTGATACTGCATTTCTAAGTTCTGGACTTAAGCAAGTTCCAGAGTTGGCAAGTAGAAACTGCGAACGTCCTACCGCCTTCAGTCACCGGATTAAATTTTGGGCAAATAAAATTTATATTACAATATCTAGTTACACGACTATGCTGCTGACTGTTGAGTGTTAAGGAGTCTTCAATATATAAGGGAACTTCACCCTTGCTGCGTTTGTATAACACACTATACTTTATTTTCATACACATTATTTTGCCATCTCCGCCCGCAAATAGCAAAAGCTAGACGAGGCGGGCGGAGAGGAAAGGTTACACGCCACACAACATTTAACTATTTTCACTCTTTCATAAAAAGGAAGCCACTGTAGACGATTAAAAAGCTTAACACTAGACGCCTGGTTATTAGCGTCGGAAACTACCCTTGTTGCTCTCTTTTGTAGCTTAAAAACACGGCTTAAATTCTCCTTATCACAACTAGTCCAGATTGAACTGACATAATGCAATACAGATCTTATCATAGTATTATAATACAATAGCCTTTGTTTCGTGGGCAGGCAAGATCTTATCGTTTTTAACACGCCAATTCGCTGAGACAGCGTTTTACAAAATTTCTCTACATGGGAAGTAAATGAAAGTTCAGAGTCAATTTCGACACCTAGCAGCTTAGCACTGGGAACGAGTTCGAGTTCAGTTCCTTTAATAGTTAAAGTCATTTCTTCATTGGTCTTTGAGGGGAGACGCTTGCCACTGATGAGCATAGCCTTGGTTTTACCTTCATTAATTGGCAGTTTGTTCGAAGCTGCCCAATTGACGATTTCGGCAATTGACGAGTTTAGGGTACCCTTTAACCTTCCGATATAGCTATAGTTCGTACTGGAAGTCAGCGTTGTATCGTCGGCATACAAATCAATTCTTGATGAAGTGACGTAAAGCGGTAAGTCATTGATAAAGACCAAAATAACAAGGGGCCAAGTATGGATCCCTCAGGAATACCATGACGAACAATAGCGACACTTGACTGTTTATCTCCCAGCTTAGCAGCTTAAATAACTTTAACTTTTAACCTTAAATAACTTAAACCTTTAAGCTTAACAGCTTAAATAACTTTAACCCCAATAAAACCAAAAAATGTAATAAGCCAATAAAATTGTTGAATGACCTTCTTCACCCGAGACACTCAAGTCAATCAAGTGTGAATCTTCGTCCACCATTTTGAATTTTCTCTAAAAATTGCTGACCGAACAGCCCGGCTGCTTTCATCTTGCGCCCATGATCTGCCCCAGGGGGCGAGGATTTGGCTCCTTTTTTTTTTACAGAAAATTTATAAATTGTCTGCTAAAACATTGTGAAATATGGAAGAAAGGCAAATTTAAGCACTAAAAGCTGCTTCGATATCAGACAACTAGAGAAATTGCTCAGAATGCAAAAAGTTGCTCGAAATACGAGAAGCTGCCAAAAAGTTGCCGAGCAACTTGTGGAAAGCCCTAATCGTGAGCTTGGACCACTTGGGGAGTCCAAATGCTATTGCTGATCTCTTCATCATGTTTATCGCCTGGACGCGCCAGTCAAAAAGCTTCAAAAGTTTATAAACTTCTGTCTCAAAGTTGGCCATAGTGCTAATTTTAGTGGCGGATCTAGACCTTCAGATAAGGGAGGGGCCCGGTCTCCAAAAATTTTTTCGGCCGCCTTCGGGCCTCAGTTTGGTCTAAAAATAACGGGGAGCGGGTCCCCCGAGCCCCTCCCCTGTATCTGCCACCTAATTTGACGCATTCAAAGTCCACATGAAGACAACTTATCGTCCAATAGACGTTACAAAATCATAACGTCGAAAGCTCTGGGCACAATGCACGCTCAGCACCTATTTCTCGCGGGTACGTTTGGGAACGATCGATTTACGACAATTGTCGTTTTGACATCGGGTACTTTCGTGCTAACCGACTAATTACGAAAGCCGTCTACACCTGAGTGATACATTTGCATATTGCAGTGCCCACAATAACTAGTTCCTTACGCTACGCGTAATCCACGAGTTAAAAGGTCCCCTCCAGAAAGGAAGTTTTCTGTTTTCACCAGGAGGGAGGGGGCGTCACCAAGGAAATCGGTGGTTCAGTCCTCATGCTACCCTGGGTACCAGAGGTTTTTCTCGCGTGCGGCGGGAATTTTCGGTGTTGGCCGAAGGCCGACACATCTTCGGCACGAGCGGCGAAGCCGCGAGAAAAAGACTTGACAGAAACCGGAAACCGCGCTAGAAAAGTCTCTGGCACCCAGGGTATCCTCATGCCAGTATGACGTCATGTCTCGCTTCGGTGACTTTTCAAAATGGCGGGCAAAGTCGTTGTTGATGAGGAGGATAAAATAATAGAATTTCTTACGCTTATCTTGCTTCATTTTCTTAGATTTGGCGATATTAAGATTCCTATTGAAACAGAAAACCAGTATAATGTACTTATTTTGAATGAAACCTTCAGAGGTGTAATGATTTTTTAAGATTCCTTTCGATCGTCGAGTATGATTGTCGAGCAGTCATATCTACCGGTCACACTTTCGAGGGCCAGTGCACAGCGATGTTATGGTGTCTCGACTCAGCAATAGGAGGTTCATCTAAGGACATACCAGGCTTTGAGTACGTGTAATCTCAGGTCTTCATTGTTGATGGTTCATCATATCAATCCCTTCAAAGTTCGTTTAGCGGCAGGGCGGAAAAGAGGTGAGTGTTAATATCTTTTGTTTCAATGCATTTCCCTGTGTAGGGAATACTCCTGTAATTTTCTAACTCATTCCCGAAGGAAAACAGTTTTGTTAAATTATTATTTTTGTGTAAAGCACGTCTGGCTCTATGCAGCTTTGTGCATGTTATTGTTACCAAACTTAACTAAGTGGTCTATTCAAAATACCTTTCCACGAGCAACTAGTATTGTCTTGTGTCTTGGAGCCGATGAAATTCATTATTAACAGAGGCATTTAAGGACACCCTGTTCAAGACGCTTAGTAGTGAAATTATTAACAGTGTTTTAAACTCATGACCTAGGACATCAAAACCCATTCAGGACAATTCAGTGGCAAATTACCATTTAAAGCAGAATGAGGGTTTTGCTTCAGATTGTCAAATTATAAGCTTACCCCAGGATTTTTGTTTGGGAGTTATTGATTTATGACTGAACTTGCTTGGCGTTGAGAACTGTTAGTCCTAAATGCTCTGGAAGTATGACTTCTTTACACTGTAATATTGTAAGGTCTGCATTGACATTTTTAAATGATCCATTGGGTGGAAACCATTGAGGAGGAATCACATGGCAGGCTACAAAAGGGATTTTTTCTCTCAGTGCCACCCAGAGGCGATGGTTCCCCTCAGTCAAATAAGCACAGCCAGTGTGCAGGTCACAGGAAATAATCAGGGGCTCTTGAAATCCCTTCTTCAAAATTAAACGCCTGACTTGCTCCAAGCGATTAAAATCATTTCCCAACTTTGGTGTCAGTGATCTGTCACATTCTCCGTACTCCCATAATTCTGTTGTTTTTACCATTTGATAATCATATGTTTGGTCAAACAAATCAGACATGTAAGATTTGGCACACATCCTTTGCTTTTCATTTTCAGTGGGATCATCAAGTCTTTGGAAAAATAAATCTTCTGAACTGTCTAAAAGTCTAAGATCACTTTCAAATTCTTCTTCACTATCACTAGAGGGCAATGTGTCCTTTTGTAGGGCAGCAATCATTTCCTTAAATGATTTATTCTCTGGTGATTGCTCAAAGGATAGCTCTTCAGCTCTTCGTCTCTCACACTAATTTTCAGTTCTTTTGGTGGGTCGTGTGTTCGCTTACTCCTTTTTTTTTTAATTTTTTAATTTTTTCGTGATTTTTTTGTAATTTTTTTTGTAATTTTTAATTTTTTTAAAATTTTCTTATTTTTTAAATTTTTTAACTTTTTAATGTTGTATTATTTTTTTAATTTTTGAAATATTTTTAATCTTTTAATTTTTTAATTTTTTAAATGAACACTAGTGAACAGCATAAAGCAACGCGTGGATCTTGCTTACTTGATTTTATTCCTCCGACCGGTTTCGTCTGATCACACAGACTTCATCAGGGAGTATAACAAGATAGAGCTAAGGAACTAACTTTATACCTAATGATTAAGACCAAATCACATGCCTGTAAGGGTGTGAACAGCAAAAAACACCCACAAAATATGCGTCCAGGATATTACTATAATCTTGCATTACAAAATTTGCAATGTTTAATTTTGGGGCTCACGGATTTAATGTTAAATCTGTGAGCCCCAAAGTTAAACATTGCACACTTACAGGAACGTGATTTTGTCTTAATCATTAGGTATAAAGTTATTTCCTTAGCTCTATCTTGTCATACTCCCTGATGAAGTCTGTGTGATCAGACGAAACCGCTCAGAGAAATGAAATCAAGTAAACAAGATCCTCGCGTTGCTTTGTGCTGCTCACTATTGTTCATTTAAAAAATCTAAAAAATTAAAAAACATTGAAAAAATTAATAGCGGGGTCAGACCAAGATGATGTATTAGAACACTTTTGTGTTTCTTCAAACTCTCGTACTCATTCTGGGCCCGGTTCCTAGAATGATGGTTAAGTTTAACCCAGGATTAAGCGAAATATTAAGCATGGTTTTCTTGCTAAGAGCATGTAACTCAAGCTCACAAAGTACTGTTGAGCCCTTACTCTGAGACACGGTAACGATTTACACAAAATGTTACTATAAGCAAAAAAAGTGGAACAAAATCTTAATCCTGGGTTAGCGCTAATCGGCCTCTCAGGAACCGGGCCCTGTATTTTTACAGATCTCAGAAAGAAGGGCTGACATGATATACATATGTTGCTTGTTTTAGATTCATCAATTGAATCTTTAGCATGATAAAGGTCATTGTGAAAATCAGTTTTATTTCCAGTTTGCTCATCTAGAAGGTTGCATGGTACTGCAAACAAGTTGTTGAATACATTTATGTTGTGTTTATTGCAGGGAGCATCACTGGAAAGACAGACTAGCTTCATTTCTGCACTGCGAACATTGCACAGTGCATGGACTGACCTTTAGAATGCCACGCTGGGCGTCACTTCGAGATTTTGATGAACTTTTACCTTTTGCAGGCTTATGACCCCTAGATGCCAAACTGGCATAGTGTTTATCACACACCCTTAGATTTTTTACTTTTTCCATGTCCCCAATAAGGTATTGAGGGCTGCACTTAATTTCATATTTTCCAATAAGGCTGTCAAATTTACGTGCACCTGCATCATTTTCACACCCCTTAAGGCAACATTTAGCACCTCCAGTTAAATGCCCATTCATAATTACAGCCCCTGATATCTCTTTTAATGACACAAAGTCATGCAAAGGTTTACCTCTGTTTGATAGCCAGTATAAATCACTAGTTATGTTAAATTTGGAATTCATCTGTGATCTCAAGTCAAAGACAGTTGCATATGGTGCAAAGGAAAAAGAGTGTGATTTTCCTGTTACATCTGTAACTAGAATAGAGGTAACAAACCTTTTTGACTTGAACACCATGCTGAGGAAAAAGCCAGGGTGGTGAAATTTTACCATTTTTAGACAAGAATAGCTTAATAACATACCAAGGAAAAGATACAAAGCAGGGAACAATAGGGGAAGGTCTGTAGAATGAATGGAACTAGCATCAAAGCTCTCACCAACTGTTGTTGCAGTTACCAAATAAAAACCTGCCAGAAATTGATAGGGTAGAGCAGATATGGTCAGAAGGAGAACAGTGGCTGCTAAGTAAAAGGGAACTGACCTTCCCACTGCCAGAGATTGAATTGTTGTAATGTTAAACAAGATGCTGTAATACGGTAAAAGGCATGTAACCATAACAGTGGAAAGAAAACTTTTGATGCTAGACTCCAAAAATATTGCACAAGGGAGTATTTGGATGTTGACTTGAACTGTAAGCAGGTTTTGTAAAGAGGTTCAAGCAGATGTAAAAATAATTTTGTAATAAAAACAGAAGGAAAGAAATTAATCTCCAGCAAATAATATTATTTAGTGTTTGGCTGTACTTTGCAATTTGCCTTGAAAAAGTGTTGCAAATGACTTTCCAGTTCATTAGGACGATGACTGTAACTACAACACAAACCAGAGTTAAACTCGAATAGAGTAAATTGGATAAGAGGATGAGATGGAAATGCCTTGTTTTAAACTGTTGCAAACACAAACATAATAACAGTAACATTGCCCACTGAAGCACACCCAAATTTGAATCAATTTTAGTGACAAAAACTTGCCCCACTCCATTAGCATGCCATTTTTTAATTGGAGTTTGGCAGAAACTTGAAGGGATATAGAGTCTGTAAGGAAGCCTTGCAAAGTTTGGAAATGCTTCTGAAATAGAAGCCATTATGACATGACTATATAAAACAGATGCCACAAGATGCAGAAAGAAAAAGCATGTTTCAGGTAAAAAATAACTAATGTTGAAGACTAAATCATACAGCAAAATTGTTGTTACCAATAATACAAAGAGTACCATATGTCACTTTTCTTTTGATTATTATCGTTGTTACACTTTATTCTTATTATAATTAAGTATTTTCCATTAACTAAAAACGTTTTTATTGTATTTTTGTCCTTATTTAATTGAAATAATTATCAAATATTTGGTGAATTTAAGTTGTGATTTAAGGTCAATTATGTGTCACACTTGTGTGTTCAACACCAGACTTTATTTACATACACCAAATATGAAAACCAAATACAGCTTATTCCCGAAGGCACGCTGTTTTTGAAAGGAACAATGAAAAGATTTTCAAGGCCACGCAAGCACAGCAAAACATGATATAAACAACAACACCCCTGATCTACAACAATATTTACCTCCCTGGAAGCAGCGATTAAAATTCAACACTGATTAAAACTACCACACAATCAGGAAGCTTATTTTAAAAAGCGATTAGATGCGTTAAAAGACAACAAATTCAAAAACAAGCAACCAATATAACTACCTTCAACAAAAGTAAGTATTTAGAAAAACAAATCAATCCCACCGCTGTGTCAGGGCTGTGAAATTTGGAGGGAAATATCAAGAAACAGAAAGAAATCAACAAAAGCCCACACTCGAACGGATTGATATGAGGAACGGCTTATCCAATCCACAAAAGAATAGGCGCACCTTAAAGGAGTGTAATCAATGAATAAAACCTCCTATCCTGAAGGCTATCCGTTGCGTAATTCGGATAAAAAAGGTGACTGATCGATGACGATCTGACTGGTCCTACAGAAAAGATGGCGGTCCCGCCAAACAACCCTCGCCACAAAGCGGCAAAATTACACAGTTACGCACACAAAACGCTCTTGAGGTTTACACAAACAGATAAAAGCAACAATAAAGCACACACACTTACGATCATATTAGCGAACAATAGCGATATTAACCTAGCGTTTTGTCTTTCTTGGCCTCTGTTGTTCTCTCCTCGATGGCGTCCCATGCTGAGTGTGTATAATATGCGAGCCAGCGAGCCAGCGAGTCATGCGAGTCAACATGCGAGCCATGCGCGTCAGCTTAATTCCATCCGCCAAACTGACGTTGACACATTAATGATTCGTACACAAAGTAGGGTTAGGGTTAGGGTTAGGGTTAGGGTTAGGGAACACCGCGGCAAAACGCAATGCGCATGAGCACAAAATTTAATATCCGGTCAGCTTTTTATTTCCGGTCTAGTATATAAACCAATAGCGTAAGCATAACTTTGCCGTCGCGCCAAGTTTAAAAGCAAAAAGGGCGAAACAGACAAAAAAGGGGGCCAAAAAAATCACTTCATTCGAAAGCTTATATATTTTTCTATTCTCAAACTTTTGCACCACATGGTTATCTGTTTGCACCAACGGTGAAAATGATGTTTGAAGTTTGCAGGTCGCGAGCGCTCGACAAGACGAATTTGTTTTTACTGGCTTTCTTGCATGCTACTGGTTTGGCATAAGTTAATTTGGGAGAAGGCGACAACTAAGAAAAGAATAACAATACTTATGAAAGAAACCAAAATAAAGACGTCATCATTATCATAAAAACACTAAAACCAGGAAATAAAATTTTAGTCCGTTCAATAATTTGTTTTATTATCAGAGAAAACAAGAACTCAAAACAAAAGATGGGCGGGATTTAATAACAACTTTGACTTTGATGACTGCAATCACCGGGAAACTAAACATGCCTATAAATGACTTTCATTCAAGAAAATGCCTATTTAATTCTTTTACATGGTTGTTCTTTTGTTGAAGACTTCAATAATTTCAGACTGTGCGGCTCGGCTGCATCTCATACAAACACGAAACTTCTAGCTGCTAAATACATGCCATGAAAAGTTCGACTTCTAAAAGCCACTGAACCAGCTTTCGCTCTCTGATTCTGAGAATGAAAAAATAAATAAATAAATAGAGTTGTCAAATTGCTGCCAACCGGCTCAACAGTATAATTAAGCTGATGTTTCATGGCAATCAACCCAGAAGAGTTTCGTTTTAAAACACGGTAAAACCCACTGGTAAACAAAACTACAAAGCGATTGTGTGTTGTCGTTTTCCAAATAAAGTTTGAATCGGCTTTAACACATGTAGACTGAGAAACTGAAGAACTGAAAATTAGAACTACAATACACAAGCTTGCAATGATAACGTTTTAATTTTATGTCTTAGTTTCAGCCAGGTTAAGTGAAAAATAACAGTCAAAAACTTTATTTTCGTGAATGAAAATCAGTTTACCTGACGCTCTAGCCAGAACTACACACTGAGTTATTATCATCTTACCTTTTGTGAATCTAATCGACTAATTGTTTCAGTGATCTGTGCCTGGTTATCCATAAAAGCAATTTCAATAACTACAAAATAGTCAAAAACACGAGCAGCATAAAGCAGAACAACTGAACCACAGGCTGCACACAGAATGAAGCCGAGAGCGCGCGGGAGACTTTGATCTGACTGGAAAGTGTGACTGAAAAAGAGACCGGAAATGCTCAACCTGGCGCATGCGTAGACGTTTTGCCGCGGTGTTGGGTTAGGGTTAGGGTTATATATTTAAATCAAACTGGTATTCATCACCAAATCCTCGGTGGTGTAGGGATTAGAGTGATGCGCTCCAGATCGGATGGTCCGAGTTCGAATCCTACTCATTCTATCCTGAGTTGTTTTTTTCCTTAAAAATTGAAGACACTTTGACTTTTATGAACATTTCATCAAGAACTTTCATATAAGAAAAGTGAAATGTCTTGTGAGAGGAGGATGTCAGTTTGGTGGATGGAATCAAGTGACGACTCGCATGGCGGTCCGCGAGCCATGCGAGTCAACAAGGGAGCCATGCGAGTCAGCATAAAATAACTTTGTTTTTAACGTAAACTACAAAAAAACTAGCCTCTGTAACTAAGTAACGTATTTATTCCAAAGGCACGTCCTTTAAAATTCAGCTTCAGAAAAATTCGCCAACATACAAATTGGAACGAGGTGAAACAATAACAAAGGTTTGAGAATGCGTTAAGCAAGGGTTTAAAGGTTCTTCTTCGGTCACGTTTAATGAGTCACACCATATGTCGTAAGTCACGTGACCAGAACATAAAAAAAACACTCCGTAAAACCCAAACGTCTTGCATCTTTCACAATAAAACCAATGCCAATGGCTTAAGAATGTCGCAATAAAAAATCTGACTTACTAACAAGTTTAACCTTCGTTCTCAAAATTCACATTTATCGAAAAAGCTATGACGTCATTGAGGAATATTTTCATACATTTTCTTTAACAGACTTTAAAAAAAGTCAAATTGCTTATGATTCGCCAAAAAATGGATTCTCTTTCCTTTAAACTTTTGCGCTTTTTCATTTCTAAAGCGGGATTGGGGACTGGCAATAGTTGCGGGGTGTTACGAAAACTAAGACCCTCGAAAACGAAGACCTAAGACCTAAGACCCGTCTTAGTTTTCGAGATTACGAAAACTAAGACCCCCTAAAATCGAATCCGTCGAAATATAAAGTCAAATTGTAACCGAAATAGGTCTGGGTCTGACCTGTCAAATTATATCTTGTTCGATCCTTTCCACCGAGTTTTAGGTCAAATTTAACGGTAAATTTAGGGGTCTTAGTTTTCGTAATTTCGAAAACTAAGACCCCTCTTAGTTTTCGTAATTACGAAAACTAAGACCCCCACCAAAACTATCTCTAAAATTTCTACAAAGTCGAATTACGACCGTTTGAAGATTATAATCCGTAATAAGACAAACAAAAACTACTATCATACGCGTGCTAGACGATCCGCTTCTTCTAACAATTTGCAGACATACATTATCAATATTGTGGCTTTAAGAAGGGGATGAAAGCTATAGACTACCTACGTATAATTGTACACTGAAAATATGCCTTTCCCCTATAATTTTGGTTGTTTATCCTTAAAGTCATAAAATTGGTTTTCCACTGGAGATAGACTTTTGTCTTCGTTGCGGGCTGACACGTCGCTGCGACCTGAATGTCTGATCGCTAAGTCTCAACGGCGTTATCGGTTAAACATCACACAAAACTACGGATTTTGTTTTTCCTTTTCTGGCCAGGTCATAGATAGAAAAGTGCTTTTATAAAAAGGGCGAAAAAAGGAGAATATGCCACATTGCTCTTTTCTAGCGTTTGTTTTTTATCGTTGCCACCCCGGAGATCACCGCGTTACAATGCAAAGGTAGTTGAGGGGTAGGGGTGGAGGGCAAGGAGATATAGTCTGTGAGGGATAATCGCTAAAATCACTCATGAAAATAATAATAATAATTAAAACAACGAATGAGTGAATGAATTCCCTGTACTAGCAAAGCATCGTCTCGAGAATTGGAGTTCTAATTTCAGAACAATAAAATAAACACGACAACCGCTACACACGAACCCCCTCAGGTGATAGTTACAGGTAACGCAATCTCCATCGCAGAGACACAAAGAAAAACATCCATCTCCAGTGGAAAGCCAGTTTCATGATTTAAAGGATAAACAACAAAATTAAAGACCAATAGGGGTAAGGCATATTTTCAGTGTACAATAGATACGTAGGAAGTCTATGGCTTTCGTCCTCTTTTTAAAGCGAGTCTTCAAATTGTTAGCGGATCGTAGAATTAGCACGCGTATGATAGTAGTTTTGTTTGACGGATTATAATCTTCAAACGGTCGTAATTCGACTTTGTAGAAATTTTAGAGATAGTTTTGGTGGGGGTCTTAGTTTTCGTAATTACGAAAACTAAGAGGGGTCTTAGTTTTCGAAATTACGAAAACTAAGACCCCTAAATTTACCGTTAAATTTGACCTAAAACTCGGTGGAAAGGATCGAACAAGATATAATTTGACAGGTCAGACCTATTTCGGTTACAATTTGACTTTATATTTCGACGGATTCGATTTTAGGGGGTCTTAGTTTTCGTAATCTCGAAAACTAAGACGGGTCTTAGGTCTTAGGTCTTCGTTTTCGAGGGTCTTAGTTTTCGTAATGCACTTATCAATTGAAACCCCGACCCCCCCCACCCCGGGCCTATGTGGGGCAATGTGGGGGATTTTTATGGTATTTGAAGGCATGGTTAGCCCGTGGGGGTGGGGGATTTCTCAGGATTTGCTTAGCATATTCATGGAAGTCCATGGAAGTCGGGGAGCGAGGTGGGGATTTGACTCGTGCCTAGTTTCCTCACGGTAATTTCTTCACGTGATCACTGGTATTTTGATGTATTGCTCGGCCGTAAGTTTCCTAATTGTTTTTCCTTTCATTTCTTCACTGAGACTAATCCTTTGCGATTTTGCCTTGAGCTTTCATGGTTCGTTGACTGGAAATTGTTATTGTTAGGGAAAGTTCATTTAATATGACAAGGGGGGGGGATGAAGATATTGAGGGGGGGCTCCGAAAATTTTTAGACACCCGAAGGGGGGGCTCTGAAAAAATTGTTGTGCTGGAAGGGGGGGCTCCGAAAATTTGTATACTTCAAAACCAACACATGACATCATCATACAGATCGGATGGTTTTCAACTCAACAATTTAATGACCTGTGCAACTCAGCTATATCACGTGGTTTACAGATATAACAAATGTAGTCTCAGTAATCATTACACTCTTGTTCATCCCAAAAATGCTTTAGAAAATTGTATCACAACTGTATCTCAAGTTTGTCATAGTATAAACCATTGAAGACAATAACGGTAAATATATTTAATACATGCAGTCTCGCGATCTTTTTTCAGGGGAGCAAAGGAATTGAAGGAGGAGGGGGGGCTCTGAAATTGTTTCGACTACCAAGGAGGGGGCTCCTAAAAAATTGAACCGCTAGCGAGGGGGGCTGCTAAAATTTCAAGCTTCGAGTTTCAATATCTTCATCCCCCCCCTTTGTCATATTAAATGAACTTTCCCTTATTCAAAACTTCTCAAACAATGCAGATACAAACTCCTCTACTTATTATAAAAGGTGCTGTGTCACGGCTATCTGGTTCATTTTGTTAATATTGCCAGTTACGTGGTCCCTATTCGCTTTTGAGCGTTACGCTGGCAAAGAAATGAAGAAATCAAAGCTTCGTTTTAAACAGATGTTTCTCCCAAGCATATCAAGCGTTACGGACGAAAACAATGAACTTTGAAAAACTGTTAGGTTAACAAGTTTTCAAAAACCAAAATTTCAATCCGTTTTAATCTTCTTCATGTTTTCCCATCTGTACCTTCTTTTGTATTTGCTGAGTCATTTATACCATCTTTTAATGTCTTAAGCGGTTATTTTTATGTTTCACTCAATTTGGTGGCAGTTCCCACAGCCTACATTTTGGTAAATTTCATGACACAGCTCGTTTAACGTCTAGTGTTAAACCCATGTGGTTTCTGAAGTTCTATATTTCCTCATTCTTTAAGTCAAAATATAAAATATAGCTCCTAGGAACTATTTTATGCAGTCTATTTATAACATCAGCTTGTGAAGGTTAAGGTATGTTGGCTGCTATTTTCAATTAAACTTATCATTGCAGATATTACTTTCAATGGAGATGGTACGGATTTCCTTTTAATATAACTTTTATAGCAATGTGCTACTCCATCATCCATTTTGTACCCTGACTTTTTTATAAGTGGGTAGGGGTCATTATGTTTACTTATTGTCAAATATTTGTTGTACTCCTGGTTGTATTTATATCTTGGTCTGTTATCATATTTGCCTTTTTGCTGTAGTAAATTTGTCAATATTAAGAAGTTGAAAATTCGAACGAAATATTAATAAAGTCAGTCAGGGAATTAAAAAGGTTTCCCCACCTGGGTGGGGGTTTTACCAGTCAATATGCCCCAGTAGGGTGGGAGTTTGCTAAGATTTGTAATGATGTCAAGTCAAATCCCCACCTTGGCCCGGGGTGGGGGGGGTCGGGATTAAATCAATTGATAAGTGCATAACACACGTAGTTGCACATGTGTAATGTCCATTTAGTGTTGTCTTATCTTCAGTTTCACGGTTCCCACTATGTTAGCGGTTTAAGACACGTGAGAAATAGTAACAAATAACATAATTTACCTTAACAAAAGATGAAAAAGATGAAGGCAGATAACAAAACGATATTGAAAGGAGAGCGAGGATAGCGAAAACTCGTGCCAAATAGCCAAAAGCCGCCAAAAGCCGAAGAAAGGAAAATGGACTGGGAACTAACATCTGTCTCGCATGGCTCACATGATGACTCGCATGACTCGCATGACTCGCTGACTCAACTCGCATGACTCGCTGGCTCGCTGGCTCGCAGCTTGTCAAGACCCTCCCATGCTTATCTGCAGAAGCAACGCGAAGCACTCACCCGTTGCTATGTGACGTCACACTGGCACGAGGAGTGGGTCAAT